GAAAAAAGGGCGTTAAGTTGGCGAAAATGTAGAACAACCACCGAACTACTGTACGAATGTCATGGCCACCTTCCCTGTGACAAATATGACCAATGACAATAGAAGAAATGTAATTAGCATGCATAGGTTAGGAGTTATTGCCCAAAAATGCGTTAAACTTATTCGAAAAATGGAGAGTTTGACATCTAATAAATGTTCAACATTTTCATTGTAAATGATGCCATTGTTTCATCATATACGGTGGCCATTTGGGTGGCAAATGTATTAAGAAAGCACGATATGGTTATGGAGATAACCTCGTAGATTTCTAAATCATTTTACTTTGACTAGGAAAATGAGAATAAAGAAGAGGGAGAATAAATTTACCACCAAAACATTCTACTCTTAAAAATTTATTTTATGAAGAGGTACGCTCCTAAAAATTATATTTTTTGTAAATTGAAATCAAGTTTGGAATAAATCTTTCATGATACATACAAATGACTGCATATCGAAAAAAGGTTTTTATAGATTATTTTACCTTAAATGCATGTTATTCCAATGTTTTTCCTATGTCTGAATCAATTAATATTTTGTAATTGATGCAATTTTTATTTTTATTTTTATTTTTCGTAGATGGCTTTTGGCGTGGACTTGTGGATAGTCTACATTTTTGTTTATGGAGGACACTTGACACTTTTTTATAATCCTGCTAACTATGTCTTCCTCTGCTTTTGGGAATATTAGCATTACTGATACATTTAACTTTTGTAATCCAACTGATAGTTGCTGGCGTGACATATAGACACTACAAGAAAAAACACCTTTGGCGACTAAATTTTTAGTCGCCAAAAGCCGACTTTTCACTTTCCCCGACTAAATATTTTAGTCGCCGGTTTTGTCGCGAATAGATGGTCGACGGAGGTATTGGCGACTAAAAAAATTTTAGTCGGCAAAGTTTGTCTTCAGCGACCAAAGAATTTGTCGCCAATAGTCAATTACATTTTTGAAAATTATACATTTAGCGACTAATCTTTTAGTCACCTTTGGCGACTAAATTTTTAGTCGCCAAAAGTCCTTTTTTAGTCGCCAAAAGTCGACTTTTCACTTTCCCCGACTAAATATTTTAGTCGCCGGTTTTATCGCGAATAGATGGTCGGTGGAGGTATTGGCGACTAAAAAAATTTTAGCCGGCAAAGTTTTAGTCTTTAGCGACCAAAGAATTTGTCGCCAATAGTCAATTACATTTTTGAAAATTATACATTTAGCGACTAATCTTTTAGTTGCCAATAGTGAATTATTTTTTTTTTAATTTACACATTTGCCGACTAAGCTTTTCGTCACCAATAGTCAATCTTTTGGCGACCACTGTTTTTAGTTGCCAAAAGCATATTTCAGAAAAAAAAGATTTACCCTCTGCTGTTCCCAAGATTTGAACCACCGACCCATTCCACATTTCAAACCTTTACCAACACACTCTCCGCACTATGCCACTACAACATCACATGAATATAATTGCAACATATATTATTTATATTTTACTTTGACCGGTATTTATACAAAACTATATATATATATAAATAATTATTTTTATTCAATATAATTTATGTAAAAAATAAATTATTTACCAAAAAAAAAAATTAGATCACTATTGGCGACTAAATCTATTTTTTAGTCGCCAATTGTATAGTTTTGGCTACTAATTAGTTTTTAGTCGCTAAAAAAATTCATTCCCGCCTAAAAAAACCAGTTTTGGCGACTAAATCTGTTTTAGTCGCAAAAAACGTCCTCTTTTGGCTACTAAACTAAATTTTAGTCGCCAATTGACTGTTTTTAGCTACTAATTTTTTTTAGTAGCCAAAAAGCTTCACTTTCAGCGACCAAACTGTTTTTAGTCGCCAAAACACGTAGAATCAGCGACCAAACTGTTTTTTAGTCGCAAAAACCTATACTTTCGGCTACTAAATTATTTTAGTCGCCAAAAACTGTCACTTTTGGCTACTAAAAAACCTTTAGTCGCTAAAACCCCTACATTCGGCGATTAAACTGACTTTTAGTCGCTAAAACCCTTATATTTGGCGACTAAACTCTTTTAGTCGGCAAAAGTGATCAATTTTGGCGGCTAATTCCATTTTAGTCACCAATTCTACTACTTTCAGTGACGAAAAATCTAGTTTTAGTCGCGAAATCTGCTTTTTGTTGTAGTGAGATCACCTTTTGTCGTGGTACAGATTCCGATGGTCATTTGTACCATACCAAATGGCCATATCGCATTGTAGTAAATATATTTTTTATATATGGAGGGTTGAAATTTTGTATGGAAATATAATTTTAGTTTGGACAATAGTTGGTTTGTCTGGAATATATACATTTAAAGTTATTCATTTTTGGATGGTTGGAAGTAATATGGACTGTGGCATGATTGATAATTTTACGTTGTGGAATAATTGATAAAATATGTATTGTTTTGCTTATATACATACTACAGGTTGCACAGAATAAAGACAGGTTGTGGTGAAATTAGAATTTTGCGATAAAACATAAAAGCATTTTTTTGGCGACTAAACAATTTATAGTTAAAAAGGAAGAACATATTAAAAAAAAAAAAGACATTTGGCGACTAAAATATTTTGTAGCCAAAAAACAAAAAACATTTGCCGACTAAAAGTTTAGTAGCGAAAAATCTGAGACTTTTGCCGACTAAATGTTTAGTAGCCAAAATACAAAATATTTGCCTACTAAAAACTTAGTAGCCCCAAAAGTCAGACTTTTAAGGACTAAAAAATTAGTGACCAAAATGAAAAACCACACTTTAGGCGACTAAAACCTTAGTAGCCAAAAATAATCCGACATTTGGTGACTAAAATATGCCAAATTTTTTGTGATAAACAACAACACTACTTTTGCCGACTACAAGTTTAGTAGCAAAAAATGTGAGACTTTAGGCAATTAAACCTTTAGTAGCTAAAACACAATAATACTTTAGGCGGCTAATATATTTAGTAGCTAAAAAAAGAATAGGAGGAATCAAAAAAAATTTGACGACTAAATATTTACTAACTAGATATAGGTAAGGTTTTTCACAACAAATTTTTTTAGTCGCTGAAAAGGTGATATTTAATTTTTTTTCTCAATAATGTTGGCGACTAAAAAATTAGTCAGCATTTCAGTACATTTGGCAACTAAAATAATTTTAGTCGCCAAAAACCATTTCCGACAATCCATCAGCGACTACTCTTGCGACCAAAAAATTTAGTCGCTAAAAATTTTTAGTGACTAAAAGATGACTTTTGGCGACTAAAAATTTAGTTGCCAAAAGTGTAAATTCTTGTAGTATCACACCATGACCTCCTTTTTCTGGGAAAATTCTGTTTCTCGTGGCATTTTTAAAATATATTTCTTATTTTATAAATAATAAAATAATCTCTCAGTATAAAAGATATGTTTCTCATTCTTCTACCATTTTACATTCTCTATTTTTTTTTATCAAAAAAATTTCTTTACCCGAAAAGAGATTACTTCTATAGTACTTGAATATATATTTTTTTAATTCATATATGTAGTTTATATATTATGCTGTACATACATGTGTAGTTGTATATATAATGAAAAAAGTTTATTTGTCTTCGACCTCTTCGATGATGAAATCCTGGTTTCATTCTTGATTGCCACCACCACTACCACACTCCACTATCACCACCATCTCGAACACACTGGTGCTCGTCAGCAGCCCACCACTATTTCCACCTTTACCCTACCTCTGCACAACCACCATGATTGTCCCTACCACCATCACTTCACAATTGCAACTGTTGTCGTTATCACCACAGCCACCCCATCCTACCACCAAACCAATCTACTATCACAACTACCACTATCATTATCATGGTGATACCGTTAGGAGTGGACTGTGTAGGAACGGGTAGGGCCACGACCCCCCCTAAGTTTTTGAAAATTCAAATATTACCCCTATATTTGATATGATTATTTGTATAATATATATTGAGATGATACTTAACTCTATGAAATCATTTATTTATTTTCTATTTCATTAGCATTTCACAATGTAATACAAATAATCTGTAACTATTTCACAGTATAATTAATAACATCAATTTTAATTAGTTATTTAGCGTTGTATTTGGATCGTGGATGTAGATAGCTATTTAGAAATAAAAAGAGAAATGAATAAAAAATTTAGTTTATATTTCATTCATATTTTACTTATTTTTTTCTTTTCTATTTATAAATTTCTATATAAATTTATAATTAAAAGACAACGTAAAAATTAGTGTTTTAAGTGTCATTTGATAATTGACATGAAACATTGCTCCGAAAGGGAATAACCAGCTTTTCTCTTTTTTCATGTTTTGCAATTATTGATAATTTGGTATTCTTGTTATTATGGCTGCACTATTTCATGCTTTCCCTTTCTATGAGACTTTGCTTAGTAATAGCAAATTGAGAACTAGGAAGGTCCAGAGAGATGCCAATGGGAAAGCCTATGGTGAGCAAACAGTTACATATCCCTCTATGATCTATCACCTCATCGTATGCTTACTAAATAATATAGGTGAAGTTTACTTCAAATATAGGAAAAGAGCGAAAGAAAATAGTTACATATCCCTCTATAATCTAAACACACCACTTATGGGATAAGCTCTATAATTTTGAACACACCACCTATGAGATAAGCCAGACTTAGCAAAAAAAATTAGCCTTTAGGATCGCTTCTATAATTGGATAACTAGCACTTAATTCGGTCTTCAATAACTGTAATTAGAGGTTGCTCAATGATTAAGTCATTATAGTTATTGCCTAAACTCCGCAAGAAAATTTCAAAAAATTAATATTATCGAAAGTCTCAACTTTTTAAAAATTAAATAATATTTCAATTTATTATTTAGTTGAGTTGAGGCCTTCAAAAAAATCTGGGCTGCTACTGATTTTAACACCAGGTTCTATCCTTGAGAGATTATGATCATCAGATAGATTGATTTCAATATCTTGAGACAACTACATAAAATCATTGATCAACTTTCAATTAAACTTGAGGCAGCTCCTATATATATACACCACCACTAGATCATTACCAATATATAATCATAACATATTAAATTATTAGACACTGAAGGACATAGAATAGAAGAGAAGAAGATCAACAACTTTGACCATCTACGGTGCTCCTCCGCCTCTTCGCCGGAAAAATACGGTGGAAACCACCGTGTGACGCTGCAGCCGCCAATTGCCACTCCACCACCACCCCATCAAAATCAAATTGTTTCATTTCAGAAGAATCAAAGAAGCAACTCTCCGAGAAGCCGGAGATTCCCCGGCACGGCGGCTTAGTCTTCCGACGACCGGCTCCAACGGGGACGTTCCGGAGGGCCCCACCAGCTGTCCAATACCTCTGGCAGCCCTTACAAAAGTACCTTGGTTGATTAACGTTGTAGTTGTTGAAGTAACAAAACTTTGTTTCCATGCTTTTGCACCTAGGGCATGGTATGATCTTGTCTGGCCTCTTTTCTAATGTTTGATCATCATGAGCTTTGTTTGGCTCATCATCCTTTGATTCTCGCACTTGCACTGCAATTGTTGCACCAAATAGTTTGATGCCTTCATGACCATCATGGACATCAGCCATGAGAGAGAGAGAGAGAGAGAGAGAGAGAGAGAGAATGTTGATGGTGTGTATGTATGTAGAGGTCAATGAGGTGCTTATACATATAGGGGTGTGTATATATGTATTTATAAGTGAGAAATAGAATAATGAAGTGCATTAATAAAAGGAGAAATTATAATTCAGTACATATTTTTCAAATAAAGGATAAAATTTATCAATTTTAATAATTAAAATTAATTAATTAATTTTTTTTATTTTATAATTTTGTAATTTATTTTTGGTCTTTCCACCTATTCACAATTTTCCCTTAATAAAAAACCCTAGAAGACATGGAAAAAATTGAAAAATGCTATAAACTCATTTTTTTAGTTCATAATTTATTCTAAATGTATATATGTGGTAAATTGGTGAAGTGTGACTTCTATGAATAAAATAAATTTAAACGATTAATTCTTTTTTCTGAATAAATTCTAGGTTGGATTAGCGTAGTCAGAAAAAAATTGTTGAATAAGCCTTCCTTTGGCAAAATGGTTAAAAATATTTTAACCTACTAAAAGTTAAAATCAGTTAAAAAATTAATAAGATAAAATGTTAGATGTAAATTATAATCATTTTATTTTTTCATTGATAAACTTATAAAAAAATTAAAAATTTATCTCAAACAAATTTTTTAAAATCAAATTAAAATAATTAAAATATTATAAAATCATACCCTTTTCTTTTTTTTTTTCAAACGAAGCCCGAGTGTGTACGGGAATTGCTAGCAAGAGGATGGCGTAAAAATGATAATGTTAGGAATATAAAATTTTATATTAAATAAATAATTAAATATGTTACATAGAGATATTTAATTTTATAATCTCACACCATATAAAATGTTTGTTTATTTATTTAATAAAAAATTTACGACTTAAAACATTTTCCGCTTAAAAAAGTTGATGCTGGAGCTTTTTGTCCACATCATTACACCACGTCATCAAGTGAGAGTTGAAAGCCTTTCTGGCGTGGATTCCAAAACATTGGATTGGATTGGATGTGTTCACATAAACAGATTTAAAATTAAAGTCTAAGTTTGACAAGTTTAGAATAAGTTAAAAAATTAAAAAATTATTTAAAAAGTTTAAAGTTAATACTATTCATCAAAAGTTAACAATTACAGTTGTACAATTCTTAATTTTAATTTTCTCTTACAAATCAATTTTTATAATTTTTTATTACATATTTTTTTATAAAAAGTCAAAAAATTAATCTAAACATCTATATTTTTTTCCTCAATTTTTTGATTCAAAAAAATAAAAAGTACACTTATTTAGCACATTCCAAACAACCTCTAAATTTTATAAAAATATTTAAAAGAGTTAGTTATTACACGCGGATGGATAGAGAAATTGAAAAGAGATGTATTTAAAAGCATTTTCTTTTTTTTTTTTGCTGTGTTTTTTTTTTCTTTTTTTTCGTTTTTAGCTAAGAAGAAAATTTTTAGTATGATTTTAAATTTACTTTTTTAGAGTAGTTGATATATTGGCCCTCTTTTTTTTTTAGCTAAGAAGAAAATTTTTAGTATGATTTTTTATACTTTTTTAGAGTTGTTGATATATAGGCCCTTTTGAGAAACTGGTAGAAAGTTTTAATTTTTTAATTTTTTAGGTCATATTATCTCTATATTTTTTTACACAAAAAAGTAAAAAAAGTCATAAAAAATTAAAAAAATTAATTTTTTATCAACTTTTTAATACACCACATAATATAGATGATTAGTTTAATGATTAAGAAAAAAATATAAAAAAAATTATTTTAAATATTCTAATAGATTGCTATATTATTAGGTTTAAAAGTAACTCAAACTTTTTGACTAGAATAGTAGTATTAATTATTTTTACAAAGGTATTTCAAATCTATCATGATAAATTTTTTTAATATAATTTAAAATCCTTAAAACGAAACTATCATACTTAAATGTGAATTATTCTCGTTGTTTTCTCTTCTAATGATTAATTCTCAATTCATGTACTTCAAATATATATACAAACAGAGCCTAAGGTTGTATTTTATATCTGTTTCCAATCAACAAAAAGAAAGAGAGAAATATTATTAAAAGAACAAAGACATATTGCATTATTGTAGGCCCAACTGTCGGATTGTAATTTTTTATATTGCAAATGTTTCTATCAATTGATAAATAAAAATAAAAATAAAATTACTAAGAATAATGTTATATAAAGAAAAATAGAATTTTTTTGATTTACAAACTAAAGTGATATTGAGTTATTCATATCAATTCACTTCAATAAATTTCATTTTTTAATATTAAGATTTTATTAAATCACATCACGCCAATTTATAAAAAATATATATTTGTATAGAATTATTTCAAAACTAACCATAAAATAATCAAATATAAACGGTATGTTTGGTAACGTTTACGTTTTCATTTTATATTTACAAAAATTTTATAAACTGATTTTTGTTTATTTTTTGTTTATTTTTAGAAAAACATAAACTATAACACGTTTGGTAATTGACAAAATATTTAAAAAAATTTAAAAATATAAAAAAGAGTGAGAAATGGCAAGTGGCGGCGGAAGACGGTGGTGGAAAGTGGTGACGGTGGGTGGTGGGTAGATGGTGGTGGTGGGTGTAAAAATCTTGATTTTGTGTTTAATTGTCAAATTTATTGAATGTTATTTTTGATTTTTAAGAATAAAGCGAGAAAGTGTGAAATTTTGAAGTTGTACATTTGCAAATTATGATGTTGTGCTTAACTCTGTTTTGTTCGAAAGATTGAAAGCTTGAATCTTAACATGCTTATAAAGATGTAAACTAGAGAAAATTGTGAGTAAACTAGATAAAATTGGTCAAAACATAGAGAAAATTGTGAGCAAATCACAAAGAAATTTGTGAGCAAACCAGATTTTTCTATGTTTTGAAATTTCTTTGATTTAAAATTTCTCTGAAAAAATGTTAAAGGACCTCAACTATTATGAAAATATCGCATGTCATTTATCATTTAAAATCTTAATATCATGGATCTTAAAAAAATTCCGTCAAGTTATAACCGTATATCATAAGTATTGTAACTAAGGAACATATGACATATACCCTTCAAAAGAGTGTGTAATAAAATTTCCTTTTGTTTTCATAATTTTCCAAGGGATGATTCTAGGGGTTGTTTGGGATATCCTAAATAAGTGTACTTTTTATCTTTTTAGACTAGGGTGAAGGTGGTGGTGGTGGTGAGTAAGTGGTAGGTGGGTGGGTGGTGGTAGCGGGTGGTGGATGGCGGGTAATGGCAGGTGGTGGTGGTAGGTGGTAGCGAATGGGTGGCGGTGGCAGGTAGGTGGCGGGTGGGTGATGGTGGTGGTGGGGGTGGTGGGTAGTGGTAGCGGGTAGGTAGCAGGTGGCTGCTGGTGGTGGGTGGCTGGTGGTGGTGGCAGGTGGGTTGTGAGTGGTGGTGGCAAGTAGGTGGCGAGTGGTGGTGGTGACGGGCGGTGGATGGTGGTGGCAGGTGGTGAGTGGTGGCTGGTAGGTGGCGGGTGAGTGGTGGTGGCAGGTGGTGGGGGGGTGGGTGATGGGTGGTGGGTGATGGTGACGGAAGACAGTGATGGAAAATGGTGGCAGGTGGTGGCTATTGTTGGGTGATAAAAAAAAAAACTGAAAACTCAAAACGGAAACATATTTTTTGTGTTTTCATTTTTCGGCCAAATTTATAAACCGAGACCACTAATTTATAAATCAAAAATTTTACCAAACAAGTTTTTATTTAAGTTTTTAAAATTTTTGTAAATATAAATAGAAAACTAAAAACGTAGGTGTTACCAAACGGTATAAAAATATTTCACTCTATTCATAGAGCACCAATATTATTTACTTAGACAAAAATTATTTTAAAAAAAGGAATCAATTATTTGCATTCGTTGTGAGAGTATTGTTCACATCTCATTAACTTTAAATATATATCATATACTCACTTTTAAATTAAAATTTCAAATAAATTTTTTTAATTTATAATATTTTTGTTTATAGAATTGTCATTGATTCCAAAAACTAGGTGGGTTGCGTAGCAAAGGAGATTGAAAGTGGGCGCATAAAGAGATAAAGTTAAAAAGACCTTTTTATTTGAAAAGTCTTTAATGTGTACCATTTTGCTTTTGTCAATGGATATATCAAAGATTAAAAGATTACATCGCCACATCATAGTCGTGTTTTTAATCGTAATGTTGAAGCTCCTTCACTTTCAGGCAATAGTGCACTTCATTACATTAAGAAAAGAGCTTAAAATACTATTTTTTTAGTGATATTTAGACACATACATTTAGATTTAGTTCATTAATTATAAATATGAGAATAATTATATTAAATTAAATAATATTAATTCTTAGTAATATTAGATATCATATTTCTAAATATCGGCCGATACGCTACGTATCGGCCGATACGTATCGAAAAAATGGGGTGCCGCGACGGATACAGGCCGATATACCACTGAGATTAAAAATCGCAGGAGTATCGGCCGAGTCCCGGTACGTATCGGCCTGTAAGCGTTACACAAGCCGTTACACAAGCCGCGACGGGCCGATACTCACCGGTTCGGACCGGTACGGGAAAGAAAAAGTTGAAAAACCTTTAAAATGATTTTTAAAATTTCACCACCACGACACCCGATTTCCGATACGTACCGATCGATACTACCGATACCGATACTCCGCGATCGATACCGTTACGTTACCCGATACCGCGATTTAGAACCTTGTTAGATATATATTTATATATCCCACTGTTCGATCTGCTATTGCTCTGTTTGCTTTGTTGTTGATAGTTCATGGTTGTGTAGATAGTTCATGGTTCTCTCTATTTGCTCTGTTTGTTTTGCTGGAGGTTGTTGCTTGCTAGTTGGTTCTGCTGGAGGTTTGTGGCAGCCTATTTTGTTCTGCTGCTGGTGGTCTTTGTGGTTGCCTTTTGTTTTCTGGTTTTTCTCCCTTTCCTTCTTGTTGGTCTCTCACCAACTGGAGCTTGGAACTTTTGCTAACTCCAAGCTCCTTTTTATTGATGTTATCTTTCATACTTTGTATGCTTCCATCAATAAAGATTTTG